TCTCTAATTCTCGTTATCATAAACAATGTGCCTTCAAATCCACCCACAATAGCCTCTAGCCCAAGCGTGGCGCGTCCTTTAAGCTTCCCAAACATTCTTTTAAACAGCATATAATTTCGTTATTGACTTTTCCGGCCCTGAGATAAAAGATTATGTTTAATCCCTTATCCAACAGGACTAAAACCATAAAACTAACAGGGATACCTCCACAAAGAAGCCCCAGGAATGCTTGTAATGATGACGACAAGATCCCTCCACAAACTTGAGCTTTCTGGGTCAAATAATAGCACAAATCTAATTTACCTCATCTCTTTTAAAACACTTTCAAGCTTTTGGGAACCCAACGTGAACTAAAGAAAGAGGCGATGAATTCACTAAACAGTTTAACACTTTACCTATTTTAACTCTTTAAGAGTATTCAAGCTTTTGGTTACACTTTATTTTAAAGGTGCCCTTGTTATAGTGTAATTATACATTTTAAGAACTAAGTAATGTTAACGTGTGGTTAGGGTTAGAATTAGGGTTTGGTTTAGGGTTAAGTTGCATGTAATTATGCATAATTTATTGTTATTTCTATAGTAAGTATATGTAATGTGTAACAATGACACCATAAAAGAAAGCTTTACCTGGCTTTTTAATAAGCTATTATACAGTATGGGTTTGAAATTTAAAATGAAATATTATATTAATATATAGTTTATGGTCGGCAAGTTGTTTTAGAAAGAACTCTCTTCTTCTCTCCAAGGCTGCATTTATTTGACTAAAAATACAGTAAAAACTGTAATATTGTAAAATATTATTACAATTTAAAATAACTGTTTTCTAGGTGAATATATGTTAAAATGTAATTTATTCCTGTGATGCAAAGCTGAATTTTCAGCACCAATACTCCAGTCTTTAGTGTCACATGATCCTTCAGAAATCATTCTAATATGCTGATTTGCTGCTCAAGAAACATGATTATTATTATCAATGTTGAAAATGGTTGTGCTGTGTAATATTTTTATGTGGAAAGAAACCTTGTTACACATACAGTACATTTATTTTTAAGATACACTGCATTTATTTTAAATAGAAATCTTTTGTAGCACTGCAAGTGTCTTTGCTGTCACTTTTGATCAGTTTAGTGCAAGATCAGGAACATTTATTAACAGCAAATGGGTCATTTTTTATTTCATTTAGTTCTTAACGCACAAAAGCGCCTGGCCTCGGTCAGCCTGTAGCCACTCTGGTTAACGGGGTCATCGGTGGGGAGAAGAGAAAAGAGCAAAGCCAGCCACTGCTGCAGCTCAGATGTGAAAAAGGGCTGATAGCAGGAAACGGTGACATGTAATTAGCACGTTGTCTGGTCTCAGAACCGCCCTTCCTCCCCCTCCTCTTCACTCTCCAGCGTTCTGTACCTCTCCCACACACTTCTGTGGAGAGCCGCTGTGATGGAGGACACAGCTAATTGTGAACGAGAGGAGTGTGCCAGTGAAGGAGTCTGCCCACCATACCCAGAGAGAGAGTATTGAGCTCAAATACAGAGTGTTGGTGTGATTTTTAAAGTGACAGTTCACCCAAACTTCAAAACTCTGTCATCATTTACTCACCCTCATGTCGTTCCAAATCTGTATGGCTTTCTTTCATGAAACATGGAAGAAGATGTTTTATAGAATTATTACACAGCTCTCTGGAATACTAAATTCTGATTGGTAAGCTGCAGCATTTTAAAGGGGTCCTATTATGCTCTTTTGCAATGTCTTGAATTTGTTTTGGGGGTGTACTAGAACATGCTCTCATGCTTGGTGGTTCGAAAAACGCATAATTTTTTTACATAATTTGCATTATTACAATACCTTTCTCCCCATCCTGGCACAAACGGCTCGATTAGTTCCGGGTTTCATGAAGGCCCGCCTTCCGAAAAACGAAATGTGATGTGATTGGTTAGCTGTCCCAGTGCGTTGTGATTGGCGAACAGCTTAGACGGTGTTTCAGTAGTGCCCCGCCCCTTGCCAAAGCAGCAAGTTCCGTCTGCTCCGGTTTAGTTAAGGATGGCGTCAGACCCAGAGAATATTGAACAAGAGGATCACGCAGAACCTTTACACGCACGATATTGCAAGACATATTTGAGTGGTAACGTTATTGTTGTTGTTGTTTTTTTTTTGTTGGCTAAATCACGTTTTAGATAGGATGTCAACAAGCGCTTAAAAATAACTGCATTTACTATGTACAGATAAGTGCATATGTATTATTTTTATTGTCCATTCGAATTTCTGTAGGCGGGAATTATTTTAATGATATTCTAATGGGCCGCTTCGTGATATCACAAAACCCGGAAAACAACGTTGTAGTCCAAACGAGCCGTTCGTTGTAGTTCTTGAAAAGGGATTTAATTTTTTTTTTAGTTAAACTGTTATACAGTTGAATTTATTTATACCCATAGTCCAGTGTTTCCCAGGCGGGCGGCATATCTATGCAAACTCATTCTCTGCCAGCAGGAGGCGCTGTTGGAGTAGTAGAGATCAAGGTTTCCCTGGTAACGGCTGTACACAAAGCAG